TATGAGTATTATTTCATAATTTCTTCTTTACTGCTTTATATGATCAATCCAGCTTAGGAAGTACATCTAGCATCTGTAGAACTTTTTTGTTAATTGTTTTCAAAGTTAATGTGGTGTCTGATCAGGAAAACCTGTGTAAATATTTTCAGTTTCAAGAAGGCCTTTTTTTTTTTTTTCTTTTTGTAAAGTATAATTTTTTTCTCTCAATTTTGTTCTTCATATTTCTTTATTTGGCCTATATTTCATATACTTAAATCCTTTCCCTATAGTTTTGGGCCTCTAGAACAAGGTCAAATTTTGCTTAAGTTCCATAAGAGCCACAGTAGATGCCTCTTTTGGACAGGGCATTACTTCTCCCTCCTCTACTAAGTATGACTATGTGTATCAGGTGAGATAAAGTGCTTAAGAGGAAACCTGAATCTAAAATCTAGCTAATTGTATTATCAACTAGCAGATGGTCTGGTCTCTGTAAATTTGTTTTTCCTATCATAGGAGTCGAAATAACATAGATATAAGTGACTGGGATGTAAATCCTTGTTTACTTGAATATATATGAACTGTTAGGAGAGTTTCTATTCTAGATATTTTATTCTCTTTAACTTCATAATGTTTAATGGGCTGAACTAGAGGTATAGTAGAAGTTGATAGATTTGAGATATATTTTGGAGGTGAATGAGTAGTATTTGATGATATGAAAGATGAATAAAAAGATAAAAGATGACTCGTATTTTTAGGGAGAGCAACCAATTGGAAAGTAAACAATTTGTTAAAAATATTGAAGACTAAAGAGAAGCATTTTAGGGTCAAGTTTGGAGAATGGAATAGAAATCTCTTGTTGGACATTTTTTAGGTTGTTTCCTGGAAGCAAACCTTGAAGTGATTATTTCTATGAGAGTGATTTATTAAGGAAATGTTCCCAGAAAGTGGAAAAGGCATGGAAGAAGCAAGATAGGAAAGAGTAATAAGTGAAGGGTGGGATCTGAGGTATCGTCACAGCATAGGTCATTTCAGCCTCATTCCTAGGAGTGTAAATGTAAAGTTAGAGACCACAAGAATGCCCTCACCTATGTCACCAAAAGTAAGTTAGGGTGGTCCCAAGACCATTCTTACTTCAGACATCATTTACATGTTAAGAAATCACCAAGACCAGCCCAAGTTCAATAATTTACTGAAAGAGCTTACAGAACTCACAAAAAGATGTAATACTCACTAAAGATAAAGAAGGAATCCTGAAAACAACTTGAGAAAAAACAAAAAGTGACATAAAAATGGCAAACAATAAGACTAAACTCTGACTTCTCAGCAGAAACTGTGCAAGCAAGGAGATAATGGGATGACATAAATAAAACCCTGAAAGAAAATAAACTGCCAACCAAGATTTATATGCCTGGCAAAATTATCCTTTAAATATGATGGTGAAATTAGGACATTTTCAGATAAACAGAAATAAAGAGAATATTAAAAAAAACAGACCAACCTTATGAGAGATGCTAAAGGGAGTCCTTCAGACAGAGAACTAACAAAAGCAAACAATGATATATGATTAATACACATGGCAACATCACTGAGAAACCAAACTACATATAGAAATATCCAAAGTAAAATAAACTTACAAGACTGATTACAAGGAACCAGAGACAGCAATTTGTAAATGATAACTATAAACCAAAAAGAAGGAAAAAATAATAGTGTAGTTACAAAACTTCAGAATAAAGAGGAAGTCAAGACAGTTTCAAGATACAATAGACTGTTTTAAACTTTGAAAGAAAATAAATCACAGGGTAACCTCAAAGAAAATTAATATACCTTCCCATCAAAATTAAAAAGAGGAAAGTCATAAATATATAGCAAACATTGAAACAAGCAATGAAGAAAATAATTGTAAAAATTCATAAACAAAAT